GATTGAGAGAACTCCGGAATTGTCATCGATGGGGTTGTCTCTGTTTGCCACCCACACCACTGTTCTTTGGGGAACTTGGTTGTACCAGATGCCGACATATCTGTAATTTGAACTGCCAGGGGTGAAGAATCCAAGAGCGAAGACTTTCCCACCGGAGACAATCAAACTACCATCATCTTTAACAGAGTGGTTTGGTGTTATGGTATCAGTGGAAACAGTGAAGCCAAAAAGGAAACAGAGAAGCAGTACCTTAATCAACCATTTTCCAGAATCCATTACTTGCGAAAGGCTAGGTTGCAATGTGGAGATTAAAATATTTGTTTAATGCAGTTAGCAGGCATTAATAAAGGGATACACGTTGAGTCAAAAGGACAACTCAGATTAATGTAAGGGTTTTCACAATGTGATTTAGTTCGGTTTTTAATATTTTTAAATTAATTTAATTTTAATCTATTAGTAAAATTTTTAAATCAATCCAATTCACTATTATATAATAACCAAATTAATTTAATTTAAATTGGATATGTATGGTCTAGTTGGATTGATAAGTTTTGAACACTATTAAATATATGAGATAATATAAAAATTTTTAACATTAAATAAAAAATATAACTATAAAATACATTAACATCTAAATTACTAGAAACATAATAAAATGCATAAATTATAAACAAGTTCTTATACTCATTTACAATTATAAAGATTAAAAAGATTTGAAAATTGTTGTTGACTATATCATTAGAGGCATCAAGGATAATAAAATACAACTTTAAATTTTAAATACAGAATAAGTAATTCTTAAAGGTTAAAGCTAATTTTTTTCCTTAATGCAGCAAATGATTCAATCTCATCTTTCAAACCTTGTTAAAAGCAATTAAAATTTAACATAAATGTCATTAGGAATGATTAAAAGCATTCATAATTAAAATTTAAAACTTCTTAACCAAAAATCCGAAAATAGTAAAATATCAAAATTAATTCTATCATATAATTTTAAGATTTCTAGAATAATATTTATTAAAATTTAGTTAGAAGAATTAGAATATTATTTTAAGAACAAATTAAAAATTTAGAGTTCTCAAAATAGAATCATAGACTAGTTATAAGATATAGAGTTACAAGTGAATTGGAAATTTAGAATTAGGGTTAGAGTGTACAATTTAGAAAGGAGAATAAATTAGAGAATATATGGATATTTCATTTTTATTTTTAAATTAAGTTAATGGAGTTATTATCTTATAAAATAAGAAAGAATTTAAAATATTACAAAAAAATATACTATATTATTTAATTAAATTATCATGTAATCAGATTTTATTTTGTAATCGGACGGTTTGAAAAGTTTGAAGGTAAATTACAAACCAAATCAATTATATCGATTTTAAAATTTTATAATTTAAATCAACCTAATTTTATAGTAGTTTGATTCAATTTTTTATTAAATTGAAACAGTTTAAGTCAGATAAATCAAATTAGATCAATTTAAATCAAATCAATTAAATTAGATCAGATGTAAACAACCTACTCAATATTTACCGTCGCGAAGACATTTTCTGCGTTTCTGTTTTATGACTTTTTCTGTGTGCAGCATAAGATTTTCTGGCCATAACTTTCAATTTTCGCTTTGGTCGTGGAAGTTTGGTGACCAGATTTTAAGAATGAGTTTCTCAAACTTGTGTAATAATTATATTATTTTATAATTAATTTATATAAAAATTTATTTTTATTTTAAAATATTTGTTACATTAGATAATTTTAATTAATCAATTAATTAAATTAAATTCTTAAATTTTTTTTTATTATTTTGAATTGTATAGTTGAAGAAAATCTTGTATATCACATATATCGTAATTTAAATTTAAAATATTTTATTTTTAACTAGTAAAAAAATATTACTATTAAATTAATTTATTAGTATATTTCTCATACAAATTAATTATAAATAAGGTTAAATATTTAATTTGGTCCCTTAACTTTATGAAATGCACATTTTTAGTCCCTCAACAATTTTTTGCACTTTTTTATCCCTCAACTATACAAAATGCACTCCGTTAGTCCTTCTGTTAATTTGTGCCGTTAACCCTGCTTAGGCGGCATTTTTTATATTTTTTTTGATGACGTAAAGAGCAAAACTTAAAAAAGTGATGATATAGATAAAACTTTTGCCATGTCACATGCTACCTGGCAAAATCGCACCAAATCCATCCAAATGGGTCCCACATCACCACTAATCCATCGGTTACTGTTTTTTTTCTTTCCATAAACGGTGTTCTTTCCATTGAAGTTCGACAAAACCCAGTACATCTGGGTTCGATGTAACCCAGCAAATAAGTTCCATCGAAACCAACTCAATTCACTGAACTCAATTGCCTAAAAATCCCTCACAACAACCTGCAATTGCCCAAAAATCCCTCAAAATCCCTCACAACAACCTGCAATTACCCAAAAATCCCTCGCAACAACCTGCAATTTGAATAATCTCTTGGTAAACAATCATATAACAAAAAATAAAAAACCAGTTGCCTAAAAATACCTCACAACAACCTGCAATTTGGATAATTCTTGGCAAACAATCATATAAACAAAAGAAAAAAGAAAAGTGGAGCTGGGTTCTGGGTTCCGTCAAACCCAGCAGATCTGGGTTCGATAGAACCCATTTGCTAGGTTCCGTCGAACCCAGCAAATTGGGTTCAATGGCCTGGCCCGAGGAGAAGAAAGAAGAGGAAGAAGAGGAAGAAAAAGAGAAAGGAAGAAGACGGAATTTTTTTATTTTTTAAAAAAATATAAATAGTAATCATGAGTTGGTATAAAAAAAAATCCACATCATGAAAAAAAAATCCACATCAACACATTTTCAATTTGTTTTTGCCATGTCATCAAAAAAATAATAAAAAATACCACATGAGCGAGTTAACGATCGAAATTAACAGAAGGATTAACGAAGTGCATTTCTTAAAGTTTAAGGATAAAAAAAGTGCAAAAATTTGTTTAGGGACCAAAAATGTGCAACTCACTAAAGTTGAGGGACCAAATTTAGCATTTAACCTATAAATAAGTATCATAAATGTACTTTCAACTTATAT